CCACGCCCCGCCCCGCCCCTTCGCGCCGCCAATGCCTTTCTCAGTCTCTCCCTCTCTTTTTCCTGGTCTACACATCTTTGCCGCGCGTGCTTCGGGAGCTCGTCGTTTGTCACTGGAACCGTTGATTGAGCGGCACAGACTGCGGATGCGTCGAGCCCACTTTTTTACACGTGTGGGGGTGAGACAGAGAGACGCGCAGACGGAGACCCCAGAAAACGAAGAATTTGCTGGATTGTGGCCCTTTAAATGGCCCGGGGATAAGCCGCACAGCGGGCGGGTGGGCAGTTGGCCGTCGACATGATCGCGATGTCATGCGTGTGTCTGAGACAAAACGAGGAGGTGGGGGAGGGGGTGGGCGTGGCCGAGCCCGGGGACCCGAGGCGTAGCGCATCGAGCCGGTAGCCAAGCTACTGTGAAAGCGGCTTGCCTGAGGGCTCGCCCGTCCCTTTAGTCGGGCGGGCCGCCGCTGGTCACCCTACCCCCACCGCCCCCGCCGCCCCGCGAAGGTCCTGGTGCACTTGTTTCCATCGGGTGGGTAATCCGTGCTGTAAATCTCGCCGAAACGATGCCGCTGTTTGCCTCTGCCTACCGTCGGGGCTGGCCCCCTTGGCCTATGGGCCGCCCGGGCCAGACAGCCAGGCGGCGGCGTGTCTAGGTCCCCGCCCCGAGCGCCCCGCGAGTGCAGGCAGCCGGGGCCGCAGCGGCGGTGCGCGCGCTGCCTATGGCCGCCGACGCGGGGGCCGCTGCGCTGTCCGCGGCCGCGCGTGATGCCCGCGAGGGCCGCCCCGGCCCCGCCTCGCCCAGCCCAACCCCGCCCTGTCCTCCCCGGGTCCCACCTGCCCTTTTATTTCCTTATTATTTTTTCACCGCAGCCGAGCCGGGTACTTGTAGTGGGCCGCCCCAGTGTGCAACAACCGCACTGCACAATACTGCATAATGGTCCCTCCTTGTTGCGTCGCCACCGGCTCCCCTCTCGGCTCCTCTCGGCTCGGCCTCGGGCTGCGCCCCGCTCGCCCTGCGACACAAACAAGGTCCTCATCGTGCTCGGATTATGGACCCGGCACTGGCTGGCGGCCCTGGCGGGGCCCCCGGCCGCCTGCACAGGCCGTGCGGCATTGTGCCGGCGGCGGTGCCGACAAGGGCCCCTCTGAGGGTGGAGAGGATAAGTCCCTGTCAGGCGGACGGCGGAAAACGAGAGGTGTTATAAACCATTACAAACTCTCTGCTGCTACCGGCCAAGGGTCCGCATGTGCCCTCCGCCATGCTCTCTACCTCTGCAAAAGGAGGGCCTGCCCTTCGATGCGACAGGCGCCAGAGCGCGAGTCGTTGGTGGTTGTTGTTGTTGTTCGACTTTCGCCGTCACGCAGGAGAGAAAAACCTCCTCTTGTAGTACTCGTTTGGGTGTTTCTGTCACGATAAGTAACAGACTAGGTACTAGGTGCATGTACGCCCCACGACCGTAACAGGCCGTAGTCGGCCGTACCCCCTTCCCCTGCCTCCCCCTAAAATAAGGTAATTTTCAACCTGTTGTTGCTCCTTGATCCCCGATTAGTCAATAATCAATTAGTCAATGATAATGTACATAGCAATCTGGTTGGTATTTTTT